GGCACCGCGGCCCTGCACTGAGGGGGACGGGGTGTGCGGCCGGTCCGGGGTGAAGCCGGAATGTCGGGGCTCGGCCGGGCGTTTTCCAGCTGGATTTGGGGTGGGAGGGGAGGAAAAGGCCGGATCCTGCCACAGGGAGAGGCTGAAAGCAGGAAATCCGGCAGGAAAGCTGAGGGGGAAGCAGGGGGAGCAAAATGCCCGTCCCAGGGGATCATCCCAAAGTGAGGGACAAGAAACGAGGGCGAGCAGCAAATCCCGGCCTCCACCAGCTGGGGAGGGGACTGTAAAGGGGCTGAGGAGCACCCCAAAAGAAGCCGGGGGGATGGTTTGGTGATCCCATCCTCCATCCACCAGGAAGGGGAATGGAGGGGCTGGAAAGGCGCTGATGAGCAGCCCTAAAAATCTGTAGGGACAGTTTATTCCTCCTGTCCTCCAGGCACTGGGAATGGGGATGGGAATGGGGATAGGAATGGGAATGGGGGGCTGGAAAGGCGCTCCCAAGCACCCCTAAAGATCTGTAGGGACGGTTTGTTCCTCCTGTCCTCCAGGCACTGGGAATGGGGATGGGAATGGGGATAGGGATGGGAATGGGGGAGCTGTAAAGGCCCTGCTGAACAGCCCTAAAAATCTGTAGGGACAAACAAATCTGTTTGTTCCTCCTGTCCTCCAGGCACCGAGAATGGGGATAGGGATGGGAATGGAGGGGCTGTAAAGGTGCTCCCAAGCACCCCTAAAAATCTGTAGGGACAGTTTGTTCCTCCTGTCCTCCAGGCAACGAGAACAGGAATGGGGATGGGGATAGGGGGGCTGTAAAGGCCCTGCTGAGCAGCCCTAAAATCTGTAGGGACGGTTTGTTCCTCCTGTCCTCCAGGCAACGAGAACAGGAATGGGGATGGGGATAGTGATGGGAATGGAGGGGCTGTAAAGGCGCTGCTGAGCACCCCTAAAAATCTGTAGGGACGGTTTGCTCCTCCTGTCCTCCAGGCAACGAGAACAGGAATGGGAATGGGGATAGGGGGGCTGTAAAAGTGCTCCCAAGCACCCCTAAAAATCTGTAGGGACGGTTTGCTCCTCTCGTCCTCCAGGCACTGGGAACAGGAATACAGATGGGAATGGGAGGGCTGCAAAATGCTCCTAAGCATCCCTAAAAAATCGTTGTAGGGTTGGTTTGCTCCTCCTGTCCTCCAGGCACTGGGAATGGGGATGGGGATGGGAATGAAGGGGCTGTAAAGGTGCTCCCAAGCACCCCTAAAAATCTGTAGGGTTGGTTTTCTCCTCCTGTCCTCCAGGCACCGAGAACGGGAATGTGGATGGGAATGGGAGGGTTGTAAAGGTGCTCTCAAGCACCCCTAAAAATCTGTAGGGTTGGTTTTCTCCTCCTGTCCTCCAGGCACTGGGAACAGGAATGGGGATGGGGATAGGGATGGGAATGGGGGGCTGTAAAGGCGCTGCTGAGCAGCCCTAAAAATCTGTAGGGACGGTTTGCTCCTCTTGTCCTCCAAGCACTGGGAACGGGCATGGGGATGGGAATGGGGAGCTGTAAAATGCTCCCAAGCACCCCTAAAAAATCATTGTAGGGTTGGTTTGCTCCTCCTGTCCTCCAGGCACTGGGAATGGGAATGGGGATAGGGGGGCTGTAAAGGTGCTCCCAAACACCCCTAAAAATCTATAGGGACGGTTTGCTCCTCCTGTCCTCCAGGCACTGGGAATGGGGATGGGAATGGGGGGCTGCATCCCCGGCGCTCCTGGAAGGAGTTTTTGGGATCGCAGCAGCCGAGCGGGGCAGGGTTTCCCTTGGGAACGGCTCTGGAGCCGCTCGGCCGGAGCGCAGGAATGAGGAAGATGAGGGTTTTTCACACGCCGGCTTTAAGAACACATTGAAATGCACCGGGATGGGAATGATTCACTGCCGCTCCAGCCCCCCCTTTCCGGGCTGGATCCGGAACCCTCGGCATTTCTGGCAGTGCCGAGGGTTTTGGGAAGCACCGGGGCCTTCCCGCAGGGTTTGGGTGATTCCTTCCCACGATCCCGAGGCGGGAGCAGGGAGGGATCCATGGGGAGCATCCCTGCCCCGGAGAGAGCAGGAGGAGCTCTCCCCTTCCAGCACCGCGCGTGTTTGATGGAAATCAAACCCTTCCCTCAGATAAAACCCGGCTTAAACCTTTGGTGAGTCCCAGCATTCCCATCCTCAGGCGTGGGGGTCCCAGGGCTGCGTTTTTGGGGTGCTGGGGCCCAGAACTGGGCCAACAACGCCAAACTCTTCCCAATAAACCCTTCCCAAAGCTCAGCCCAGCCCCTGTTCCACCCAGCAGTGCCTGTTCCTCCTGTTCTCTTAAAGCCCAGTTTCTTTTGGGGAATTTAATCCCGGTTTTTGCTCTGAAGCCGCCGGGAGCAGCAGCTGCTCCGTGGGAAGGTCGAGGTTGGCTTTGGGAAAGGCCCGGAGAGCTCTGCTGGGGGAGCCTCACAGCAAAGCTGGGCTTAATGAGGGGCTGGGTTAAAGCAAAACTGGACTTCAAGCAAAACTGGATTGAAAACAAAACTGTTCAAAGCAAAACTTGGTGTCATTCAAAGTTGGGTTTAAAGCAAAACCGAGTTTAAAACAAAGCTGGGATTAAAGCAGCTCTGGATGTAATGCAAATCTGTGTTTAAAGCAAAATCATGTCTAAAGCAAACTCAGTGTAAAGGAAAGCTGGTTTTAAGGCAAAATCAGCTTTAATTCAAAGCTGGGTTTAATGAAAAGCTGGACTTAAAGTGCAGTTGGGTTTAAAGCAAAGTGAGTTTAAAGCAAAACTAAGTTTAAAGAAAAGCTGGGTTTAACATAGGACTGGACTAAAGTAAAATCAGGCTTAAAGCAAAATTGTGCTGGAAATAAAATTGGGTCTAATGCAAAGCTGGGTTTAAGAAAAAATCGGGTTTAAAACAAAGTTTGGGTTAATGCAGAGTTAGGTTTCAAACAAAGCTGGATTTAAAGCAAAACAAGGTTTAAAGCAAAACAAAGTTTAAAGTGAAACGAAGTTTAAAGTGAAACAGGCTTAAAACAAAGTTTAATGCAGGACTAGTTTTAAAGCAGAACTGGTCTGACAGCAAAACCAGGTTGAAAGCAAAGCTGGGTTTAAAGCACAACAGGGTTTAATGCAGAGCTGATTTAAGTAAAACTGAGTTCAAGGAGCGGCGGCTGCTGCCGGCCTGAGCCGGGCTTTGCCTGCTCGGGTCCCGCCCCTCCCTGAGCCCTGCGGGAAGGGAACGGTCACGGCCCGAGCTCCCGGAGCCCCCAGACCCAATTCCCGGGGTGCCCCAGACCCAATTCCCGGTTCCCCCCCAGTCCCAATTCCCGGGGTGCCCCAGCCCCAATTCCCGGGGCTCCCCTAGACCCAATTCCCGCCTGCCCCCCAGACCCAAGTCCCAGCACCCCCAGCCCCAATTCCCGGGGTGCCCCAGCCCCAATTCCCGGGGCTCCCCCAGCCCCAATTCCCAGTACCCCCAGCCCTAATTCCCAGCACCCCCAGACCCAATTCCCGGGGTGCCCCAGACCCAACTCCCGGGGCTCCCCCAGCCCCAATTCCCGGGGTGCCCCAGACCCAATTCCCGGGGCTCCCCTAGACCCAATTCCCGGGGTGCCCCAGACCCAATTCCCGGGGTGCCCCAGACCCAATTCCCGGTTCCCCCCCAGACCCAATTCCCGGGGCTCCCCCAGCCCCAATTCCCAGCACCCCCAGACCCAACTCCTGGGGCTCCCCCAGCCCCAATTCCCAGCACCCCCAGACCCAATTCCCGGGGCTCCCCTAGACCCAATTCCCGCCTGCCCCCCAGACCCAAGTCCCAGCACCCCCAGCCCCAATTCCCAGCACCCCCAGCCCCAATTCCCGGGGCTCCCCCAGCCCCAATTCCCAGCACCCCCAGCCCCAATTCCCAGCACCCCCAGACCCAATTCCCGGTTTCCCCCCAGCCCCAACTCCCGGGGCTCCCCTAGACCCAATTCCCGCCTCCCCCCCAGACCCAAGTCCCAGCTGGCCCCCAGCCCCAATTCCCGGTTCCCCTCAACACCCGGGGCTCCCTCCCAGCCCCAACTCCCGGCGCTCCCAGCCCCAATTCCCGGGGCTCCCCCAAACCAAATTCCCGGCGCTCCCCCAGCCCCAGTTCCCGGAGCGCCCCCAGCTCCAACTCCGGGCGCCCCCAGCCCCAATTTCCAGCTCCCCTAAACCAAATTCCTGCCTCCCCCCAGCCCCAAATCAGGGGGCTCACCCAAACCAAATTCCCGGCTCCCCAAGCCCCAGTTCCCGGCCCCCCCAGACCCAATTCCCGGTCCCACCCCCCCCAGACCCAATTCCCGGCGCTCTCCCAGCCCCAAATTCCCGGCGCGCCCCCGGCCCCAATTCCCGGCGCTCTCCCAGCCCCAATTCCCGGCGCTCCCCCAGCCCCAAATTCCCGCTCCCGGCCCGGCCATGGCCCCGCCCCACTCCGGCCCCGCTCCCGCCGCTCGATTTCCTCTTTTTTTAAAAAACCCCAAACAAATGGGATTGGATTCGCCCCGGCCGCGCTGAGTCACGGAATCCCCGCGCCCCGGAGCCGCCCGGCCCCGAGCTCCGGAGCCACGGCCGGGACACTTGGGGGGCCCGGGGGGCCCCATCGGGCACAGCCAAGGTGGGTCGGGCAATTCCCGAGCTCCGGCGCCGCATTTGGGGCATTTTCAAGGACTTTCAGGCACTTTGAAGCTCTCAAAACCTGGGAGTGAATCCGGTCAGGGGCCGGTTCTTCCCTGCCCCGGCTGCGACCCCAGCCCCAGCAATTCCAGTGCGTTACTGGTGCTGCGCCCCCTCCCTGCGCGGAGCCTTTTGGGGTGATTGGGGGGGAAATCACGACTTTTATCGCTATTTTTGGCAGCTCCGAAGGAAGCCGGAGCCTCACCTGGAAGGAGGCAGTGGAAGGAGGGAGCTCAGCCCCACCTGAGCCCAGGTGATGGGGCACTGAGTGGGAATTCACCGCTTTTATCGCTATTTTTGGCAGCTCTGAAGGCCCCCAAACCTTCCCCTGGAAGGAGCCGATGCCATGGAGGGAGATCAGCCCCACCTGAGCTCAGGTGAGCGCCTGGGGCCGCTTCTCCTCGCTCTTCCCACCTTCTCCACCTGGCTCAGGCCTCCCTGACCTCCCTCTCTCCCTGTCCCGAGGAAGACCTGACCACGCCGTACCTGAGGAAGGCTCCCACCCCCCCCGGCCATGAGGACGCCGACACCGCCGTGATCGCAGGTGAGGCCGCGGCTCCCGCTCGCCCCGGGGCTCAGCCCTGGTTCTTCATTATTTATACATTATATATTATATAATGTATATATCTATTATATACATTATATATATATATTATATACATTATATATATTATATATACATTATATACATTAATTAACCGATTTGATTCATAAGGAGAATTTATCCCAGAATTAAAATACAATCATAAAAAGGCCACAAGCAAAGATCCGGTCCTGACAGCGTTGGTGACACAGGGGGGACACTCTGGCTCCTCTGGCCATCACCAAGAGAAAACTCTCACAAAGTCTTTTTATACATTTCCAAGCAAGAAGAGTTTCTTGCTTTCTTATCATTGATTTTATCCTTTTAGCATCTTCATGTAGTTTTTCCTTTCTTGCTGCTGCTCTTGCTGAGAGTTTCCCTGAAAGTGGTCAATAATTCACCTTGTTAGGGGAAAATCTCCTGCAAAATGCATTCTAGGAGACCCAGATTTATCTTATTGATGATGCACATCAAATGCACATTGCTGGGCTTTGGGCAGAGGAATAATCCTGTGGAATTAACATTTCATTCAGGCTGGGATTTTGGTGCATATCGCTGTAATCTCATCAGAGGGAATTTCCTGAACCCTCCTTTGGTATGCCAGGATTTTCATCCGGTGAGATTACTGTAGCCTGTAATAGATGAGATGTATAAATTCGTGCTGAGGCTACAAATTTATATGAATTTATATGAAAATCCTGGCATACCTAAGGAGGGTTCTGGGGAAGTTTCCTCTGTTAGGAAAATTAATCCACAAACACCAGAAGTTTATGTCCAAAAAGGAGCCAGAGGAGTCCTTTTGCTTTATTGCAATAAAGGCAGAGGCCATGGGGCATTCCCCTGGGATCTCTCAGATTTATGGAGGATTCAGCCTCCTTTTTATCCCAATTTCCCTCTCTTTTTCCCCATTTCTGAGGTGCTTGAGAGGTTCAGACTCCCCAGAACACCTGATATCAGAGATTCCCCTCTAATGTACAACCCTCACTTTTAATTTTTAATTCTTATGGAATTTAGGGGTTTTTCTTCCCCATTGTTTCTTTCATCTTTCAATGTCTAACTTCATTTACCAGCAAACTGAAATTTTATTTGTAAAAGCAATTATCTTTTTGCATTCATCAATCAGTGGAATCCTCCCCATTGTTTCTTTTATCTCCCAGTGCTGGTTTTATCTCCCAGCAGACCCAGAGCTGGTTTGGAAACACAAATCCACTGTTTCTCTCACCTCTGATGAGATTACAGCGATATGCACCAAAATCCCAGCCTGACTGAAATGTTAATTCCACAGGATTATTCATCTGGCCAAACCTCAGCAATGTGCATTCAAGGTAAATCTGGGTCTCCTAGAATGCATTTTGCAGGAGATTTTCCCCTAACAAGGTGAATTATTGACCAGTTTTGGGAAACTCTCAGCAAGAGCAGCAGCAAGAAAGGAAAAACTACATGAAGATGCTAAAAGGATAAAATCAATGATAAGAAAGCAAGAAACTCTTCTTGCATGGAAATGTATGAAAAGACTCTGTGAGAGTTTTCTCTTGGTGATGGCCAGAGGAGCCAGAGTGCCCCCCCTGTGTCACCAACACTGTCACCCTGGGTCAGTGCTGATCTGAGCTTTGCTTGTGGCCTTTGTACCATTGTATTTTAATTATGGGATAAATTCTCCTTCTGAATCAAATTGGCTAATTCATTAATAACATAGCCTGTAATAGATGATGTGTGTAAATTTGTGCTGAGTTTACAGTAATTATTGTAGCCTGTAATAGAAGATATGTGTAAATTCTTGCTGAGGCTACAATAATCTCACCTGATGAAAGTCCTGGCATACCAAAGGAGGGTTCAAGAAATTCCCTCTGATGAGATTACAGCGATATGCACCAAAATCCCAGCCTGAATGAAATGTTAATTCCACAGGATTATTCCTCTGACCAAACCTCAGCATTCGATGTGCCTCATCAATAAGATAAATCTGGGTCTCCTTGAATGCATTTTGCAGGAGATTTTCCCCTAACAAGGTGAATTATTGACCAGTTTGGGGAAACTCTCAGCAAGAGCAGCAGCAAGAAAGGAAAAACTACCTGAAGATGCTAAAAGGATAAAATCAATGATAAGAAAGCAAGAAACCCTCCCAGAAGGTTGGAAATGTATGAAAAGACTCTGTGAGAGTTTTCTCTTGGTGATGGCCAGAGGAGCCAGAGTGCCCCCCCTGTGTCACCAACGCTGTCAGCCTGGGTCAGTGCTGATCTGATCTTTGCTTGTGGCCTTTTTACCGTTGTATTTTAATTATGGAATTGTGAAAAACGCCAATCACTTGTTTTTAAAATTTTAAACATTTAATGATAATAAAATGGTTATAAAAATAGTAATGCAATTAGAGTAATAATAATTTAGACAATTTGAATTGGGACAATATGGGACAATAGAAACAAAGAGTTACAGACAGTCCAGGTACCTTTTCTGCGCAAAATAAACCCAAAAAAGGACCCACGTTAACAGAGGATTAACCCTTAAAAGCAACAGCCTGTTGCATATTCATACACCTCATCCATGATGCATAAATTCCATTCAAACTCAGGATTCTGGGTGGGCAGTGTCAGCTTCTTCCTCTGAATCCTGACAGCGTCATCCTCTATGAGTGAGGCAGGAAAAAGTTCATTTCTCCTGATAATGGAGCAATAAATTCTCTTTCTCTGAAACATTCAGGTGTCCTGTGGCTGCTATCTCAGTGCAAGTCCTTTCTTTAGGAAAAAAGTATCGTACATAGCATAGGTTCTATTTTAACATTTTGTTATAACCTAAAACTATATTTAACACACTACTTAAGAGAATTAATACATCGCTTTCTAACACAACACATACAATATTCATTTGAATATTTGCAAAAAGCCAATCCTAAAATACGCATTTTTCACAGAATAAATTCTCCTTATTAATCAAATTGGCTCATATATTGGAATAATTACCAATATTGCCAGATGGGATGTGCCTGACCTTGTCTGGCCCTTGCTGCTGAACCAAAGAGCAGAAACTGTGGTGATTTCACCCCACAGACATTTTTGGCTGCCTGGGTGTGTGGTGTTTCACCCCACAGACACCTTTGCCTGCCTGGGTGTGTGGTGTTTCACCCCACAGACACTTTTGCCTGCCTGGGTGCTGCAGCTGGCACTGCAGACAAGTCCAGGAGCTCTGGTGCTGCTGGGATGGAGCTTCCCCCATAACAGGGGCTGCCCCTCAGGTTTCCCTCTGTGGAGAAGCTTTCAGGCCATGGTGAAGGAAAGGAGTCGGTTCTGAGGGAGGGTTTGGATCCAGAGCTTTATTCTGGCCCTCAGGCCTCTGAATGCAGCACCAGCTCCCACAGAACTCCCTGAGCCCGTGGCTGCTGCTCCTTTAACCCCGGGGAGAGGGGCAGGGAAGGGGCAGGGAAGCACCAAGCAGGGACAGGAGGGGAGGGACAAAGGGACAAAGGACACCTGGATGGGCCAATGTCCTCCAGGGGTAGAGGGCATCCTTTGGATCTGCCAATCACTCGAGGCCCTTCTGGAACAGCAACCACGGGCTCAAGGAGCTCTGTTGGAGCTGGTGCTGCATTCAGAGGCCAGAACAAAGCTCTGGATCCAAACCCTCCAGCAGAACCGACTCCTTTCCTTCACCATCCCCTTAAAGCTTCTCCACAGAGGGAAACCCCAGGAGCAGCCCCTGTTATGGGGGGAAGCTCCATCCCAGCAGCACCAGAGCTCCTGCAGGCCTGGACTTGTCTGCAGGGCCCAGCTGCAGCACCCAGGCAGGCAAAAGTGTCTGTGGGGTGAAACACCACACACCCAGCCAGGCAAAAGTGTCTGTGGGGTGAAACACCACACACCCAGCCAGGCAAAAGTGTCTGTGGGGTGAAACACCACACACCCAGCCAGGCAAAAGTGTCTGTGGGGTGAAACACCACACACCCAGCCAGGCAAAAGTGTCTGTGGGGTGATCCAGGTAGCCAAAAACTCTCTGGGGTAAAATCACCACACACCCAGCCAGCCAAAAGTGTCTGTGGGGTGAAATCTCCTCAGTTGCTGCCTTTTGGTCAAGCAGTAAGGGCCAGACAAGCCCAGGCACGTCCTGTCCAGCAATATTGGTAATTATTGGTAATTATTCTTGGTAATTATTCTAACACATCTCACCTGTCACACCTGTGCCTGCCCTGCAGTGGTGATCACCCTGGTGTTCCTGACCCTGCTGACCGTGCTGGTGGTGATTGGGATTTACCTGTACCGGAACCAGGGCTCCTACCACACCTACGAGCAGCCCGAGCCCGACACCGCCCCGCGGGAGGAGCCTCCGGCCAAGGACAAAGAGGAATATTTTATCTAAGGACACGCCTGGGATCCACACAGCTCCCGAAACTCCCTGGAGATGGAGGCCTATGTGAATTGTCAGGAGTTAGGATGATACCTGAATTCCCTGGCGTCAGGGATCTGCCCAAATTTCCCAGAATTGAAAGATCCCGGAGCTGAGGATCTGCTGAAATTCCCTGGAGCTGGGGAATCTTCCTCAGTGGGATCTGCCTAAATGCCCTGGAGCTCTACCTGCACTTCCTGGCTTTGAGATTCTGCCTAAATTCCCTGGATTTGGGGATCCACCTAAATTAGAACCTGCCTAAATTCCCTGGATTTGAGGATCCAACTAAATTGGAAACCTGCCTAAATTCCCTGGGGTTCTGCCTAAATGTCCTGGAGCTGGGATCTGCCTGAATCCCCTGGAGCTTGTGATCTCCCCAAATTCCCTGGAGCTGGGGGTCTACATGAATTGTCAGGAGTTAAGGATGCTGCCTGAATTCCCTGGCATCAGGGATCTCCTCAAATTTCCTGGAGTTGGGGACCCACTGAAATATCCCAGAGCTGAGGATCTGCTGAAATTCCCTGGAGCTGGGGCTCTACCTGCACTTCCTGGCTTTGGGATTCTGCCTAAATTCCCTGGATCTGGGGATCCACCGAAATTGGAAACTGCCTAAATTCCCCGGGGTTGAGGTTCTGCCTAAATATCCTGGAGCTGGGATCTGCCTGAATCCCCTGGAGCTTGTGATCTCCCCAAATTCCCTGGAGCTGGGGGTCTACATGAATTGTCAGGAGTTAAGGATGCTGCCTGAATTCCCTGGCATCAGGGATCTGCCCAAATTTCCTGGAGTTGCGGATCCACTGAAATATCCCAGAGCTGAGGATCTGCTGAAATTCCCTGGAGCTGGGGCTCTACCTGCACTTCCTGGCTTTGGGATTCTGCCTAAATTCCCTGGATTTGAGGATCCACCTAAATTAGAACCTGCCTAAATTCCCTGAGGTTCTACCTAAATATCCTGGAGCTGGGATCTGCCTGAATCCCCTGGAGCTTGTGATCTCCTGAAATTCCCTGGAGCTGGACTTCTGCCTAAAGCTGAGGATCTGATTTCGTTTGGTTTGAGTTTTTTTCTTCCTTAATTTATGAAGCCAACCATGGAAGGAATATGTGGGTGCCCAAGGGTAGGAAAAACCCCAAATACCCCCCAAAAAAGTAATAAGAGGAAGTTCCCAATGCAGCAGGAAAAAGGAAAGAAGTGAGGAAAGCCCTGGCTGGCAGCAGCCAAAGGGGTTCTCAGAGGCCCAACAGAAATGTGTTACTTCATTTAAATTTTCAAAATAATCTTTATTTTGGTTTTTAGTATAAAAATCCACAAGTTCAGTGCAGCACAGAGAGTCCGAGAGCCAAGCTCGGGAACGGTCAGGGATGGTCACACACACAGAGAACACAGATTCAGATTAAAGTGAAATATTTAAGATAAAATAGAACCGAATCTGAGCTCTTCCTTCATCAAGTAACAACCAAAAAGAAGAAAAACACCCGACTGAGGATCCCTGAAGTGTTCCTCCCAAAAGCTTGTGGAGGTTTGGTTATCAATGCATTGATAAACCCATCGATAAACCCATTCAAAATACCCCATTCATAAAACCCACCTACAACCACCCCATTCATAAAAATCTATTTACAACCACCCCATTCATAAAAAATCCATTTACAACCATCCCATTCACAAAAAAACTCCTCCATAAACCACCAATTTACACCTCATTGATAACCCCCAAACCATCCCGACCCTAAAGAGGGAACCCAAGGGATTTGGGTGCTCCCTGGCAGTTCCCCCAAACCATCCCAACCCTCAAGAGAGAACCCAAGGGATTTGGGTGCTCCCTGACACTTCCCACCCCCAGCACAGATGGAAACGGCCTCTCGGATTTAAGGAATTCGGGTGCAAAAAGGCCAGGTTCAAGTTAAAACCAAGCGTTTGCTAATTAAGCATTAATTAAACCTGGCTCTAGCTGGAATGGGGAGGATCCCACGGGAGCAGCAGCACGGCCCTGGCACCGCTCATGGCTTTGATTGGAGCTGAAGTGCAAAAAATCCAAAATTACTGGGAGGGGATTCAAAAAAATCCCAGGACAGAGGTTCCTGGAGGAAAAGGTGGGAGAGGGTGAGGGGGAACCTCGGGGCAGGCCAGGAAGGGCTCAGGTTTTATCTCTGGGAAGGAATTTTGCCTCTGGGAAGGAATTTTGCCTTTGGAGAGGAGATTTTTGCCTCTGGGAAGGGAATTTTGCCTTTGGAGAGGAGATTTTTGCCTCTGGGAAGGGAATTTTGCCTTTGGAGAGGAGATTTTTTTCTGCTTCCTACCCAAAATCCACGTTTCCCAAAAAAAAGAGAACCCTGGATGCGTCCAGCAGAGGGATGAGGTGGGGAAACCCCTCCCCAGGGCTTAATTAGGCCATTAATTAATTAGAGCTGCATGTAAATGAGGAAAGGGCGGGGCTGAGCTCACCCCCATTTGTGAAGGAGCCCCCCAAGTGACCAAACCCCCCCCCCCCGTCACCCCCTTGTGTCACCTGGTGCAGGTACCTGGGGGGAGGGGCTGGGGGGCACCCCAAAGGGGCAGGGGGGACCCCAGCACGGCCCCCCCTCACCAGAGGCCGAAGCCCCCCCCCGGCCCCCCCGGGAAGCCCCCCTTGCGCGGGGGCAGCAGAACGGCGGCTCCGGGCGGGACCGGCACCGGGGCGGCGCCCGCGGGGCACCCGGCGGGCGGCGGCTGCAAGGAAACAGGGACGGGTCACTGTCGCGATAGGGGAGGGGTCACTGTCGCGATAGGGGAGGGGTCAGTGTCGTGATAGGGGAGGGGTCACTGTCGCGATAGGAGAGGGGTCACTGTCGCGATAGGGGAGGGGTCACTGTCGCGATAGGGGACGATAGGGGACGGGTCACTGTCGCGATAGGGGAGGGGTCACTGTCACGATAGGGGAGGGGTCACTGTCGCGATACGAGACGGGTCACTGTCACGATAGGGGAGGGGTCACTGTCGGGATAGGGGACAGGTCACTGTCATGATAGGGGAGGGGTCACTGTCACGATGGGGATGATAGGGGACGGGTCACTGTCGCGATAGGGGAGGGGCCACTGTCACGACGGGGACGAGTCAGTGTCATGACAGGGGACGGGTCATCTTCATAATAGGGGAGGGGTCACTGTCGCAATAGGGGACGGGTCACTATTGTGACCGGGGATGGGTCACTATCACAATAGGAGGACAGGTCACTGTCACTACATGGGGACAGCTGAGATCACTGTCATGACAGGGGGACAGGTCACTGTCACGATAGGGGACAGCCGAGGTCACTGTCACAACAGGGGATGGGTCACGGTCATGATAGGGGACAGGTCACTGTCAGGACAGGGGGACAGCTGAGATCAGTGTCGTGACATGGGACAGGTCACTGTCACGATAGGGGACAGCCGAGGTCAGCATCACAACAGGAGCGGGGACAAGGCTGTGACAGGAGGGACACGAGGGCCAGTGTCACACCCGGGCAGGCTCTGGAGACACGGAGATGTCCCCAGCCCCGCTGAGGGACAGTGAGAGGGCTGGGACACAGCCCCGAGCCACCCCTGGGGCTGCAGCACCTGGGCCAGGAGAGGGACACCTGTGCTGTCACCTGGGGCACACTGTCACCTGTGCTGTCACCTGGGGCACACTGTCACCTGTCCCCAAGCTCCAGGTGGGAATTCCAGGGGAGCAGGAACCTCTGAGGCTCCAGGAGAGGGGAGCCCAAGGGGGCTGGGGGAGCAGGGCCAGGTGAGCATGGCCAGGTGAGCATGGCCAGGTGAGCATGGCCAGGGGAGCATGGACAGGGGAGCATGGACGGGTGAGCATGGACAGGTGAGCATGGACAGGTGGAGCATGGACGGGTGAGCATGGACAGGTGAGCAGGGCCAGCATGGACAGGTGAGCATGGACGGGTGAGCGTGGATGGGTGAGCATGGACAGGTGAGCAGGGCCAGGTGAGCATGGACAGGTGAGCGTGGATGGGTGAGCAGGTACAGGTGAGTGTGGACAGGTGAGCGTGGACAGGTGAGCATGGATGGGTGAGCATGGACAGGTGAGCGTGGACAGGTGAGCATGGACAGGTGAGCATGGACAGGTGAGCATGGATGGGTGAGCAGGTACAGGTGAGCGTTCCCAGGTGAGCAGGAGCCTCTCCCAGCTCACAGGAAGTGACAGGCCCAGGTGTGAGGACAGGTGAGGTCAGGTGAGGTCAGGTGAGGTCAGGTGAGGTCAGGTGAGGTCAGGGGGTCAAGGCCCCCCTTGCCCACCTCCCCCCAGGCCACACCCAGCCCAGCTGTGACCCAGGGCCACCTGTGATCCCAAATCCCACCTGGAAGTGCCCAAAGCCACCTGGATGGGGCTGGGACTCACCTGGGCCGGGGCCGGGTGATCTTCAGGTCCCTCCCCACCCAAATCCCCAAACCCCACAGATCCACCTGCACTTCCTGGGATGCTGCCAGTGCCACCTGTCCCAAACCCTCCCACCTGTCCCAGTCCCACAGACCCACCTGCCCTCACCTGGATCCTGGCCTGTCCCAAACCTTCCCACCTGTCCCACCCCCACAGATCCACGTGGTATCACCTGGATGCTGCCAGTGCCACCTGTCCCAAACCTTCTGCCCCAAATCCCACAGATCCACCTGGTATCACCTGGATCCTGGCAGTGCCACCTGTCCCAACCCATGCCACCCCCCAGCTCCACCTGCCCTCACCTGGATGCTGCCAGTGCCACCTGTCCCAACCCTTCCCACCCCCCCAGCTCCACCTGCCCTCACCTGGATGCTGGCAGTGCCACCTGTGCCCAGCCTGGCAGCGCTGTCCAAGCCCCCCTCCAGCAGCACGGGGGATCCTGCTGGGTACACCTGGCCCAGGGGCAGAAAGGCCACGGGGGAGCCCAGGCCCGGCAGGGGCAGGGGCGGGGCCAGGGGCAGGTACAGGGACGCACCTGGGCACGCTGGGGACACGGGGGGGACCCCAGCAGCGCCCAGGGGGACGAAGCTGAGACGGTAGAGCTGCAAAAACAGCGAGGTGACAGTGAGGTGACACAGGTGCCACCCCCCAGAGACAGGTGTCACCCCCTCATCCAGGTGTGCACCCACCCAGACAGGTGCCACCCCCTCAGACAGGTGTCACCTCACCCAGACAGGTGCCAACCCTACCCAGACAGGTGTCAGCCCCCACAGACAGGTGTCACCCCCTCACCCAGGTGTGCACCCACCCAGACAGGTGTCACCTCACCCAGACAGGTGTCACCCCCTCAGACAAGTGTCACGCTCCCCACCCAGGTGTGCACCCAGCACCCAGGGGTCTCTCTGGCCCTTGGGAGTTTCCAGGGGGTGTCCAGGGGGGGGATCTCAGGGGTCCCTGTCCCACTGGGGGGGTCTCGGGGGTCTCTATCCCGGGGGGGGGGGGATCTCGGGGGTCTCTGTCCCATTTTGGGGGTCTCTGGGTTGTCTCTGTCCCAAGCCCCCCCAGGCTCACCTGCCTGCAGGAGTTGGGGTCACCTGAGCTCCCCCCTGGGCTCTCATGGGGGAATTTGGGTCACCTGGGCCATGGGAGGGGGGGTCCCTGCCCAGGTGAGCTCCGGGTTCCCCTGGGCCGGGACAGGAGGGGTCCCAGGGTGAGGCCCCTCCAGACAGGTGTGTCACATGTGTCACAGGTGTCCCATGTATCCCATGCGTCCCATGTGCGTGTCCCGTATGTCCCACATGTGCCATGTGCCCCACCTGTGTGTTCTGTGTGTCCCATGTGTGTGTCCTGTGTGTGCCATGTCTCCCATGTATCCCACACGTCCCACGTGTCCCACCTGTCCTGTGTGTCCCGTGTGTCCCACACATCCCACATGTCCCACATGTGCCACGTGTCCCATTTGTCCCGCGTGTCCCATCTGTGTGTCCCATGTGTTTCATATGTCCCACATGTCCCATGTGTTTCATGTGTCCCAAATGTCACATATGTGCCATGTATCCCACATGTCCCACGTGTCCTCTCTGTCCCATGTGTCCTGTGTGTCCCATGTGTGTGTCCCACGTGTCCCACCTACCTCGGGGTATGCAGGCTCAGGGTAGGGGGGCGGCTGCAGCAGGGGCAGAGCCTGGGGGTACCCAGGAGCGGCCGGGGCTGGGAACAGGGGCTGGGCTGGGAACGGCCCTGGGGGGGACAGAAATGGGTCAGGAGAGCCGGGACCGAGGGCTTGGGTTGGGACTGAGCTGAAAACTGCCCTGGCAGGAAAAGGCATCGCCCTCGGGCCCTGTGCCCACCCCGGGCATCGCCCCTGGGCTCTGTGCCCCCCCGCGCATCACTCCCGTGCCCTGTGCCCCCCGTGGGCATCAGTGCCATCGCTGCCCCTGCCGTGCATCCCCCGGGCATCAGTCCCATCAGTGCCCAAACTCTGCCTCCCCGGGCATCACCCCTGTGCCCCCCTCAGGTGCCATCACTGCCCCTGCCGTGCAGCCCCCGGGCATCGCCCCCGGGCCCTGTGCCCCCCCTGGGTATCAGCCCCATCACTGCCACCCTGTGCCCCCCCAGGCAGCTCCCCCAGTGCCCCCATGGCATCAGCCCGGCCTCAGTGTCCCCCCAGCGCTGCCACGCCCCTCTCCTCCCCTCAAGGCATCGCCCCCCACTCCCCCCGATGCCTCAGAACCCCCCTACCCCTCTCATGGTATCTCCCCCCAAAGCCTCACCCCCCCCCCCCCCCCCGCGCCCCCTCCCCATGGTATCTCCCCCAGCCCCGCCTCCCGGCTCAAAGCGAGGCTGAGTACGCGTCTCCATGGCAACCCTCGCCCCGCCCCTCGCCCCGCCCCGCCCGCCCCTCACGCGCCCTTAAAGGAGCCGCGGCCCCGGGCGGCGCTCCCGGCCAGGCCCGGCGGCTCCGCTGAGAGCACCGAGGGCCCGGCCCGGCCTTGCCTTTGCCGTTCATGGCGGCGGCGGCTCCCGCGGGCACGGAGCGGGACGAGGCGGAGGAGGAGGAGGAGGAGGAGGCGGGGGCGGCCCGTGGGGGAGGGTGAGGGACGGGGCAGGAAGCGGGACAGGAAGGGAGCGTCGTGACGTCATCGCGCTCGGGGCGGGGCCACGCGCTCTTAAAGGGACCGCGGGAAACGTTGGGGGAGGAAATGAGGGCGGGTCCTAAAGGGGGCGGGGTCACGATGGGAGGGGCTGGAGGGGAGGGGTCCCTAAACAGGGTCTGGGGTCCCTAAACAGGGTCTGGGGTCCTTAAGCGGGGTCAGGGGGCCCAACAGGGTCGGGGGGCCCTAAATAGGTCTGGGAGTCCCAAAAAGGGCCTGGGGGTCTCTAAACAAGGTCTGGAGTTCTATATTTGAGCATTAATAAGAATTTATTAATAAGAATAAGAATTTAATATTAAAAATATAACATGAGAATTTCATATAAATTGCAGTTAAAATAAATATTTATAAAGTATTTATAAAATATCTATACAACCTTTAGAGGTATATAATACATACTAGAATAATATATAAATATAGTAAATAACGTTAAAATATTAATACAATAGTGTAGCGTATAATATATAGAAATAAATATTAATAAGGATTAATGAATAAGACACTATATTAATTATTGTAATAATATATTAGTACAAAAATCATAATTATCATTAATATATAAATATTTTATTGCATAATATATAGATATATGTATATATTTAATATATAATATAAAATGTATTTTATATTTTTTATTTATTTTCTATTTATTTATATTTATATATTTAAATGTATAATATAGTAATAGATTATATACATTCTATAAAATATAAATATTTAATAAATTGAATAAATAAAAATATAATAAATAAAAATATATTATTTAAATATATATATTTAAATATATTACTATATATATGGATATATGCCAATAAATTTTTATATAAATGCACAATACATAGCATAATAGTATAATATATTTTTAAAAATTCAACAAATCTGATAAAATAAGGGAATATATAGTACATAAAATAAATATAATGTGTATCACACTTATATAAATAATATATTATATTATTATAAGATTATATTATATAATTATAGCTAAAATTATAATTGTGTATATATATATTATTACATATGAATAATCCATGTATCTCTGTATGATTAAAGAGCCCCCTTAGGTTGTGAAATGCCCCCTGAAAGTCTCAAATTCCCATTTTTGGGGGGGATTTTTTTCTCCCCGCATTCCGCCCCCACTTTCAGGACTCAAATCTCTCCTTTTCCTCCCGCTCATGAATAATGCAGCAGCTGCGGCATGAATATGCAAATGAGCCTGCTGGCCGTGGGGTGTGCTCATGAATAATTCATGAGGGGAAATGTTCCTCACCCTCAGAAGGCGCAGAAACGGAAAAAAATTCGGATTTATCTTCAAAGGGGGAGGGGGCGGGCGGGAGACACCGAGCTGCGCTTAGACCCCGCTTAGAGACCCCAGACTCATTTAGGGACCCCCAGATCCCGCTTAGGGACCCCAGACTCATTTAGGGACTCCAGACCCCGCCTTGGGACCCCCAGATCCCGCTTAGAGACCCCAGACTTATTTAGGGACCCCCAGATCCCGCTTAGAGACCCCAGACCCATTTAAAGACCTCCAAACCCGTTTAGGAACCCCAGACCCATTTAAAGACCCCCAGACCTGCTTAGGGACCCCAGAGTCATTTAGGGACCCCCAGACCCCGCCTAGGACCCCCAGACTCTGCTTAGGGATCCCCAGACCCATTTAAAGACCTCCAAACCCGTTTAGGAACCCCAGACTCATTTAAAGACCCCCAGACCCGCTTAGAGACCCCAGACTCATTTAGGGACCCCCAGACCCCGCCTAGGACCCCCAGACTCTGCTTAGGGATCCCCAGACCCGTTTAAAGACCTCCAAACCCGTTTAGGAACCCCAGACCCATTTAAAGACCCCCAGACCCGCTTAGAGACCCCAGACTCATTTAGGGACCCCCAGACCCCGCCTAGGACCCCCAGACTCTGCTTAGGGATCCCCAGACCCGTTTAAAGACCTCCAAACCCGTTTAGGAACCCCAGACCCATTTAAGGATCCCCAGACCCATTTAAAGACCCCCAGACCCGCTTAGGGACCCCAAACCCATTTAACGACCCCCAGACCCATTTAGGGGCGCCCCTCCCTCCATCGCCCCCGCCCCCCAAGCCCCCCCACTGAGTCTTTGTTAATTAAAATCCGCCCCCCCACCCGAGCTGTTTTCCTTTCCCCCGTACGCAAAAGCATTCGCTCTATGCAAATGTATGCAAATGAGCCCGGGATTTAACTAGCTGTAGGTATTTAACGATTCGGATTAAATATTCATAATCACGGCAGCGCGTATGCAAATGAGCCCTGCAGAACTGGGCCGCGGCCGCCTATAACAGGTGCACCTGGGCTAATTAGAATATTAATGAATATTAATGATATTAATGAGGAGGGGTCGGGCTGGCTCTGGGGTCATTAATATTGGGTCCTGTCCCCCCCTTTCCCCCAGCCCCTGTCCCCTTTGGCCCCTCTCGTCTCGGGGGTCCTGCGGTTTTGGGGGGGTCTGGAATTGGGGATTTGGGGTTTGGGAGGGGTCTGGAACTGGGGATTTGGGGTTTGGGAGGGGTCTGGAATTGGGGATTTGGGGTTTGGGAGGGGTCTGGAATTGGGGATTTGGGGTTTTGGGGGGGGTCTGGATTTGGGGATTTGGGGTTTGGGGGGCTCTGGAATTGGGGATTTGGGGTTTGGGGGGGTCTGGATTTGGGGATCTGGGGTTTGGGGGGTCTGGAATTGGCGGTCTGGGCTTTTGCGGGGGTCCTGGATTGGGGATCCGGGGTTTGGGGGGTCCTGGCACTCCGGGTCTGGGGTTTTGGGGGGGGTCTGGAATTCGGGGTTCAGGGTTTGGGGCGTCCTGGATTGAGGATCCGGGGTTTGGGGGGTCCGGGATTGGGGATTTGGGGTTTTGGGGGGGTCTGGAATTGACAGTCTGGGCTTTGAGGGAGGTCCTGGATTAGGGGGGTCCGGGATTGGGTATCTTGGTTTTGGGGGGTCCTGGCACATCGGGTCTGGGGGTTTGGGGGGGTCCTGGATTGAGGATTGGTGTTTTGGGGGGTCGCGGGTTGGGGATTTGGGATTTGGAGGTCCTGGCACTCCGGGTCTGGGGTTTGGGGGGGTCCTGGATTGAGGATCCGGGATTTGGGGGATCCTGGATTGGGGATCCGGGTTTTGGGGGCTCTTGGCACTCTGGGTCTGGGGTTTTGGGGGGTTCTGGATAGGGGGTTTGGGGTGTGGAAGGTCCTGGATTGGGGATCCAGGGTTTCGGGGGGTCCTGGATTGGGGATCCGGGCTTTGGGGGGTCCTGGCACTCTGGGTCTGGAGTTTTGAGGGGTCTCAGATTGGAGATCCGGGGTTTGGGGGGTCCTGGCACTTCGGGTCTAGGTTTTGTGGGGTTTCTGGGCCGGTAACCTCTGATTTGGGGGTCTTGGAGGTGGTTCTGATGCTGGGGAGGATCTCTGGTTTTGGGGTTCCAGGGCTGAGGAGGCCTCTGCAGCTCGGGGGTCTCTGTTTTGGGGTTTCTGGTTCTGGGGGTGTCCCTGGTGCCTTAGACCCGGGGGGGCTCTGGGGTGTCCCTCTGTTGTGAGGGGGGGGTCGCTGCCTCGGGGGGGTCTTTGGGCCCAGGGGCCTCTGGCTCGGGGGTTTCCAGAGGGCGTCCAGGGGGATCTCGGGGGTCTCTGTCCCATTGTGAGGGGGTCTCTGGATGGTCTCTGTCCCGAGCATCTCTGGGATCTTGGGATCTCTGTCCCAGTTGGGGTGGGGGGATGTTTCTGGATAGTCCCAGGGTCTCTGCCCCGGGTCCCTCTCCCGGGTCCCTCTGCCGGGTCCCTGTCCCGGGGGTTTCAGGGGATCTCTGTCACGAGGGTCTCTGGGGTCCCTGTTCGGGAGTGCCTGTCCCGGGGTCCCTGTCCCGGGTCCCTCTCCCGGGTTCCTCTCCCGGTGTCGCTCTCCTGGGCCCCTGTCCCGGGGTCCCTGTCCCGGGGTCTCTGTCCCTGGGTCCCTGTCCCGGGGGTCACTGTCCCGGGTTCCTCTCCCGGGGGTCCCGGGGGTCTCTGGGCTCTCTATCTCGGGGGTCCCTCTCCCGGGTCCCTCTCCCGGGTCCCTTTTCCGGGGGTGTCTGGAGTCCCTGTCCCTGGGTCTCTGTCCCGTGGTCCCTCTCCCGGGTCCCTCTCCCGGGGTTTCTCTCAGGGGTCCCTGTCCCGGGTTCCTCTCCCGGGTTCTCTGTCCCTGGTCCCTGTCCCGGGTCCCTCTCCCGGGGCTCTCCCGGGTCCCTGTCCCGGGCTCTCTGTCCCTGGTCCCTGTCCCGGGCTCTCTGTCCCGTGTCCCGGTCCCGGGCTCTCTGTCCCTGGTCCCTGTCCCGTGTCCCTGTCCCGTGTCCCTCTCCCGGGTCCCTCTCCCGTGTCCCTCTCCCGGGTCCCTCTCCCGGGCTCTCTGTCCCTGGTCCCTGCCCCGTGTCCCTCACCCGGGTCCCTCTCCCGGGGTTTCTCTCCCAGGTCTCTGTCCCTGGGTCTCTGTCCCTGGTCCCTGCCCCGTGTCCCTGTCCCGTGTCCCTCTCCCGGGTCCCTCTCCCTGGTCCCTCTCCCGGGTCCCTCTCCCTGGTCCCTGTCCCGTGTCCCTCTCCCGGCTGTCCCGGGCCGTGCGCGTTGTCGCTCGCAGCGCCCCCAGCGGCGGCGGGCGGCACGGCGCCTGCGGCAGCGGCCTGCGCATAAATTATGTTCATGACGCAGCAGCCCCGAAACCCCGGGAAGCGCCGCGGCTCCCCCGGCGGGACCCCCGCGGCACCGAGCCCCCCGTGACCCGCCCCCCCCCGGCACCGAGCCCCCCGTGACCGCCCCCGCCGGCCCGGACCCGGCCCGGGCTCCCGGGGCCGCCGCCGCCCCCCGCCCCTTTGTGCCGCCGCCTCCGTCGCCGCCGCGGCGATCGCGGGAGCGGCGAGAGCGGCGGGGACCCCCCCCGGCCCCCCCGGGGCTCCCCCGGACCCCCGACCCCCGGCTCGGTGAGTGCGGGGCCGGGGCGGGCGGGGGGCGGCGGGCCCGGCGCGGTGAATATGCAATGGCGTAATTAGCATAATTTATATATTTATGATAAAGAGCGCTGGGGGGGGCGGGGAAGGGGAGAAAACGGCGGAAAACGGGGGACAGCGAGGGGGGGGGGGGCAGCGGGATTTGGGGGGGAAAGGGGGGTCAGGGGAGGTTTGGGAGGCAGGGGGGCTCGGAGCGGGGCGGGGGGGCCGGGAGGGGAACTGGGGAGAACTGGGAGGAACTGGGGAGAGACGCGCAGGAACTGGGGGGCTTGGAACGGTGGGGACTGGGGGGGATCGGGGGGTGCCAGGGGGGGACCCCGGCTTAGGGGACACCCCTGGGGGAACCCCGGAACTGGGGGGGCAGGGAAGGAGGGGCTGGAGAGCCCCGGGGCAGGGATGTCCGGGGGGGGCAGGGGGATTTGGGGACACAGGGCGGGGTTTGGGGCAGTTTTGGGGTCCTGCCCGGGGGGGGGGGCGGCAAAGAGACCCAGCGGGATTTGGGGGGGGAGGGGGCAGAGGGGCCTGGGGGGAACTGGGCAGAGCTGGGGGGACACGAAGGCTCCGAGTGGGGGCAGGTGGGAGCGGGGGGCACCTCGCACAGTTGGGGTCCCTGGGGGCACCCCGGAATTGGGGGGGGGGGGGTCCGTGAAGGGGGGGAATGGAGAACTGGGGGGGGCAGGGAACGGGGGTGACCGCCCTGAGCGGGGCATGAGGAATTTGGGGGGGCGGGGGTGGATTTTGGGGTGTAGGAGAGGAGAAGCAGTGCTGAGGGGGGCAGGACATTGTGGGGGTCCTGGGGGGCTCCAAGGGGGATTTGAGGGGGAAAGACAGATTGGGGGGTGTCTGTGGGGCTTGGAGAGGGTGCTGAGTGTGTGGGGGAAACTGGGGGGACATCACGAGTTGGGGGGCACAGAAATGGGGGGTGAGGGGGACCTCGGCTAAGGGGGGGTCCCGGGAACACCCCTCAATTTTGGGGTCCAGCAAGGGGCAGGAGGGGCTGGAGAGCCCCGGGGCAGGGAAGGGGGATCGGGGGGGGCAGGAGAGGAGACACGGGGTGAGGGGCTGGGGACAGTTTTGGGGTCCTGCCCGAGGAGGGGCCGCCGGGAATGGGGGGGCAAAGGCAGTTTGGGGGTCAGAGAGGCTTTGGGGGGGTCTGGGGGGGGAACTGGGGAGAACCGGGGGGACACGAAGGCTCTGAGTGGGGGCAGAGGGGGGTGGTGAGGATTTAGGGGGACCTTTGGGTTAGTGAGGGTCCCTGGGTCACCCCGGAACTGGGCGGGCGCAGTCAGGGAAATGGGAGGAGGGGGCTGGAGACCCCTGGGGCAGGGAAAGGGGGGGTCACTGCCCAGGTGGGGGTGGCAGGAGGAGTTCGGGGGAAGTTTTGGGGTGCAGGAGAAGAGAAACAGGGCAGAGGGGGGCAGGACGGTACTGGGGTCCTGTTGGGAACCCCAGAGGGGATTTGGGGGGGAAAGGCTGGGCAGGGGAATTGCAGGGGGTACCAAGGTCTGAGGGGCTAAGGAAGGTGGGGGGGGGAGGTCCAAGGACATTTTGGAGTGCTGCAGAACGGAGGGGGGGGCACTGTGAGGGTTTGGGGGCACCGAGCACCCCATAGAGGGGGCATTGCCCCCACAGCCACGCTGAGCCCCTCCTTTGGTGGTTTTGGGGTGGGGGGACCTTCCCTGGGAGCTGCACTGGGATGGGGGCAACGGGGGGTCCTCACTTTGGGGGGGAGGAAGGGGGTGGGGCTGTGTTGTCCTGTGCCCCCCAAACCTGTCCTCAGCCCCTCCATCCATGGCCATCCCAGGGGGACTCTTGTGTTCTTCAACCCCTGCACCCCATGTGAGCCCCCCAAAGGAACAGAGGGGGCACAGCACTGACCCCTCATCCCATTGATCCCATCGATCCTATTGATCCCATTGATGGCATCCCATTGATCCCATCCCATCCCATCCCATTGATCCCATCCCATTGATGGCATCCCATTGATCCCATCCCATCCCATTGATCCTATTGATGGTATCCCATGGATCCTGTTGATCTTATTGATCCCATCCTGTTGATCACATTGATCCTGTTGAATCCTATTGATCCCATTGATAGCATCCCATTGATCCCATCCATCCCATTGATCCTGTCCCATTGATCCCATTGATCCCATCCCATTGATCCTATTGATCCCATTGATCCCATCGATCCTATTGATCCAATGTCATTGATCCCATCGATCCTATCAATCCCATTGATCCCATCTCATCCATCCCATCGATCCCATTGATCCTATTGATCCCATCCCATCAATCCCATTGATCCTGTTGGTCCTATTGATCCCATCCCATTGATCCCATCAATCCCATTGATCACATGCCATCCCATCTCATTGATCCCTTCCCATTGATCCCATTGATCCCATTGATCCCATCCCATCTCATTGATCCCATTGATCACATGCCATCCCACTGATCCCATCCCATTCCACTGATCCCATGGATCCCATTGGTCCCATTGATCCCATGGATCCCATACCATCCCCTTGATCCTGTTGATCCAATTGATCCCATCTCATCGATCCCATCAATCCCATCCCATTGATCCTGTTGGTCCTATTGATCCCATCCCATTGATCCCATCAACCCCATTAATCCCATCCCATCTCATTGATCCCATTGATCACATGCCATCCCATTGATCCCATCCCATCCCATTGATCCCTTCCCATTGATCCCATCCCATCTCATTGATCTCATTGGTCACATACCATCCCATTGATCCCATCCCATCGATCCTGTCCCATTGATCCCATTGATCCCATCCCATTGATCCTATCAATCCCATTGATCCTGTTGAGCCCATCGATCCCATACCATCCCTTTGATCCTATTGATCCAATTGATCCCATCCCATTGATCCCATTGATCCCATCCCATCGATCCTGTCCCATTGATCCCATCCCATTGATCCCATTGATCCCATCCCATCGATCCTGTCCCATTGATCCCGTCCCATTGATCCTGTTGATCCAATTGATCCCATCCCATTGATCCCATCCCATTGATCCCATTGATCCCATTGACCCCACCCCATGGGATGCAGATCCAGGGGTTCCCGTGCCCCCACCCCCCGTGCTGCCCCCCCAGGCTGTCCCGTGCCCTCGGGGGCCCTCAGGACCTGGCGTCGCTCTCCAGGTTCTGTCCTGGGGACACCAAACTCTGCCCTGGCCTTGGCAGGGATGGCAATCCCGGCAATAGAAATCCTGGGGTGCCCCTGTGAGGGGGGGTTTGAGGGTCCCCAGGACCAGGGGAGAGATGAGAATCTTGGCTCCATGTTTCAGAAGGCTGATTTATTATTACATATATATATTATATTAAATATATATCATAAAACATATATCATAAAACAATAAATAATATATTATATATCAAGATATATCATAAAATAATAAATATACTAAAAGAAAGAGAAAGGAGACATCAGAAGGCTGGACAAGAATGAATAATAAAAACCCGTGACTGCTCAGAGCCTCGACATAGCTGGACCATGATTGGTCACTGAGTAAAAACAATCCACATGGAACCAATCAAAGATGCACCTGTTGCTCAACCATCTCCAGACCACATTCCAAGCAATCAGATAATTAGCATTTCCATTTCTTTTCTGAGGCTTCTCAGGAGAAAATCCCAGCGAAAGGATTTTCATCAAATGTCCCAGTGACACCACTGCAGGCTGCTCCCAGTGCCAGGGGCTCCAGAAATGCTGCAGCTTCCATTTGGGGTCGGGATCCTGCCCCCTGTTTTAGTTTTATTATTTGTAATAATAATAATAATAATAATAATAATAATAATAATAATAATAATAATAATAATAATAATAATAATTTATTCCCTGGATTTTGGGGAGTCAGGGTGCTGAAGGTGGGAAGGAAATCAGGGATTGAGGAATTCCACTTTGGCTTCGTGGCTGCTCCCTGCACCTTACTGGGGAAAACAGGGCAAAACCAGGGAAATAGGGCAAAACCAGGGAAATTGTTCCTTTTAGTGCTGCAAAAAGGAGTTAAACTGGCAGCAAACCTGTGGCCAACTGGTTTGGGGTTTTCCCTGATGGAGCGATATAATAATAATAATAATAATAATAATAATAATAATAATAATAATAATAATAATAACTATTATTATTATTTTTGTTTTATTTTTATTATTATTATCATTATTATGTTTTGGTTTTATTATTTCTTTATTGTTATTATTTTATTAATATTATCTTTATTATGTTTTGGTTTACTATTATTATTATCATTATCATCATTATCATAATCATTATCATGGTTTGGGTTTATTTTTATTGCATTATCATTATTATTTGTTTATTATTATTATCATTATTATGTTTTGTTTTACTATTATTATAGTTATCATTATGGAATAATAATAATAATAATAATAATAATAATAATAATAATAATAATAATAATAATAATAATAATAGCACCAAAACACAATAATGATGGGTCCAACTTTTGGACCCATCTCTGCCTCATCAACACTTAATTAACATGGAAATTAAATCCACATGGAGACTAGGAGCATCCTAAATATCCTTCTCTCACCTTTTCCCCCCTCTTTCTTTATTTTTAATATTTTTATTAATATTTTATGCATTTTATGCCTTCCCTCCATCTGTTGCTCCATGGCTGCTCCTCCCTGCCTGCCCTCACCACCATCTGCATAAATTATTTGTCACATTAAATGCCAAAAAATGCCCCAAAAAGTGTGAAAATCGGGATATGTGATGGGGAAAGGATCTGGAGCTGGATGCCCACCTGCATCCAGCCTGGAATCACAAATGTCTGATTAATTGGCTCATTAATTAGTCTTCTCTCCCGGGTTATTTGTGTCTCCTCCCAGCAGCAGCAGCAGCAGAGAGAAATCCAAGGATTTCTCCTTGAAACTTTCCTGTTTCTCCTGACTGAGTCACCTTTGCCCAAACTCCTCCTTTTGGGGGGGTCTTTAGGGGGGGATCCTGGGGCTCCCAGGTTTTTGGGGAGCAGGGGAGCAGCCAGAGCTCGGCACGGGAACATCTCCAATGTTTTGTGTCCCTCCAGGCCAGAGACCCAGGGACCCCAAAACTCGGAGGAGCCCTGGGAGCTGCAGCCCCAAAACCAGGAGGGGCAGAATCCCAGAGAGCCGGAGCCCAGAGACCCCAAAAACCGGAGCCCAGAGACCCCAAAACCCAGAGAACCAGAGCCCAGGCACCCCAAAACCTGCAGAGCCAGAGCTCAAAGACAGCAAAACCAGAGTCCAGAGACCCCAAAACCAGGAGGGGCTGAACCCCAGAGAGCCGGAACCCAGAGACCCCAAAAAACAGAGCCCAGAGACCCCGAAACCCAGAGAGCCGGAACCTAGAGACCCCAAATCCTACAGAACCGGAGCCCAGAGACCCCAAATCCTACAGAACCAGAGCCCAGAGACCCCAGATCCTGCAGAGGCGGAACCCAGAGACCCCAAATCCTGCAGAGCCGGAGCCCAGAGACCCCAAAACCCAGAGAGCCGGAGCCCAGAGAGCCAGAGCCCAGAGACCCTGAAACCCGGAGCTCACAGACCCCAAAACCAGAGAGCCAGAGCACAGACACCCCAAAACCTGCACAGCTGGAGCACAGACATCCCAAAACCTAGAAAGCCAGAGCCCAGAGACCATAAATCCTGCAGAACCAGAGCCCAGAGACCTGAAAACCAGAGAGCCAGAGCCCAGAGACCCCAAAACCTGCACAGCCAGAGGTCAGAGACCCTAAAAACCGGAGCCCAGCAGAGACCCCAAAACCAGAAAGCCGGAGCCCAGAGACCCTAAAACCTGCACAGCCGGAGCTCAGAGACCCCAAAATCCAGAGCTCAGAGACCCCGAAACCAGAGAGCCAGAAACCAGATACCCCAAATCCTGCAGAGCCAGAGCCCAGAGACCCCAAAACCTGCACAGCCAGAGGTCAGAGACTCCAAATCCTGCAGAGTCGGAGCCCGGAGACCCTAAAACCCAGAGAGCCAGAGCCCAGAGACCCCAAAAACTGGAGAACCAGAGACCCCAAAACTGGAGAGCTGGAGCCCAGAGACCCCAAATCCTGAAGAGCCGGAGAACAGACACCCCAAAACCTGGACAGCCAGAGCCCAGAGACCCCAAAAGCAGGAGAACCGGAGCCCAGAGACCCTGAAACCCGGAGAACCAGAGACCTGAAACCCAGAGAGTCGGAGCCCAGAGACCCCAAAACCCAGAGAGTTGGAGCACAGAGACCCCAAAACCCAGAAAGTCGGAGCCCAGAGGCCCCAAAACCCAGAGAGTCGGAGCCCAGAGTTGCTGAGAGCTGCAGCCGGGACAGCAGAGCCCTGAAACCCCGGGAGCTCTGAAACCTGGGAGCCCCCAGGAGCCCCAGCCCAGGCCGGGGGGCAGGAGCCACATCCAGCCCCGTGTGCAGAGGGAGGGGCCCTCACCCCGGCACGAGCAGTGGGTGAGTACCTGGGAGCCCCAGAATCCATGGGGTTCCCTTCATTTCCCCCTCCCCTTCCCCCTTTACCCTTCCCTGTCTGACAGGAGTGGGGCAGGGGAGGGGATGGTCCCACCTGGGACAGGGAGGAGCAGAAGCTTTCCCATCTTTTCCCACCTTTCCCCACCTTTCCCCACCTTTTCCCACCTTTCCCCACCTTTTCCCACCTTTTCCAGCCTCGGGAGGAGGAAGGAGCTGCCGCAGGACTTTGGGGTGTTCCCCCAGATCCCTGGCAGCTCTCTGGGGCAGGTGAAGCCACCTGGGGGATGAATCCAGAGCCCACCCCCCCCAGTGACTCCTGTCACCTGCTGAAGAAGTGTCCCCAACAGTTTGGGTCCCCTCAGGGACCACCAGGGGCTTAGGGGGGCAGCCAGGTGTCACCTGGAGATTTGGGGACCCTCTGTGGGCTCCAGAGAGGTGATTTCACCTGGCCCATCCCGGGATTTTAGGGTTTCGAAGGGGCTGAGAGGGGGTGAGAGGAACCCCAGAACCCCAACTCCCCCCGGGGACCCCCAGGTTGGTGACAGCCCCTCGTTGTCCCCCGTGCAGCATGTGGCAGGTGTGACCCTGCCCACCTGTGCCAGGCCACCATGGAGCCGTGCCCGGGGCAGCCCCAGGAGGCCCTGCTGACGGTCAACGAGCAGGTACGGCCCCCCAAAACGGGCTGGGAGCTCAAAACGGGCTGGGACCCCAAAACGGGCTGGGACCCCAAAACGGGATGGGAGCCCAAAATCGGACTGGGACCCCAAAACGGGCTGGGAGCCCAAAACCGGCCCGGGCTGGGACCCCAAAACGGGCTGGGACCCCAAAATGGGCTGGGACCCCAAAATGGGCTGGGAGCCCAAAACGGGCTGGGAGCCCAAAACCGGACTGGGCTGGGACCCTAAAACTGGGATGGGACCCTAAAACTGGGCTGGGGTGGGACCCCAAAACCGGGCCGGGGCTGGGACCCCAAAACCAAGCTGGGAGCCCAAAACGGGCTGGGAGCCCAAAACGGGCTGGGACCCCAAAACGGGCGGGGCTGGGACCCCAAAACTGGATTGGGCTGGGACCCCAAAACCGGCCCGGGCTGGGACCCCAAAACCGGCCCGGGCTGGGACCCTAAAACCGGATTGGGCTGGGACCCCAAAACTGGGTTGGGCTGGGACCCCAAAACTGGATTGGGCTGGGACCCCAAAACTAGATTGGGCTGGGACCCCAAAACCGGGCTGGGACCTCAAAACCGGATTGGGCTGGGACCCTAAAACCGGGCTGGGAGCCCAAAACCGGACTGGGCTGGGACCCCAAAACCGGGCCGGGGCTGGGACCCCAAAACCAGACTGGGACCCCAAAACCAGGCTGGGGTGGGACCCCTAAACCGGGCCAGGAGTGGGACCCCAAAACCGGCCAGGGGGGTAGGACCTGCACCCCAAAACCAGGCTGGGGAGGGATCCCAAAACTGGCTGGGGGTGGGACCCCAAAACCGGCCGAGGTGGGACCTCAAATCCAGGCTGGGGTGGGACCCCAAAACAGGGCTGGGACCCCAAAACAGGGCCGGGGGTGTGACCCCCCGCCGTGTGCCCTGGGATGGGCTGGACACCTGCAGGAGATTTGGGGGGGCTCACCCCCAAATGGGCTGGAAAACCTGCAGGAAATATGGGGGGGCTCACCTGGCCCTGTGCCGCACCTGTGGGGCTGGGGGGACGCTGCAGTGGGATTTTGGGGTGGTGTTAGTTCGGGGTGCTGTGGGTGGGGTGATGCAGGTGGGGGGGTACTCGCTGTGTTTTGGGGTGCTGCAGGTTTGGGGTGCTGCAGGTTTGGGGTGCAGCTCGATGGGTTCATACAGGCTCAGGTGGAACAGCCAGGTTTAATGAATCATTAATTAATCCTCAGTTTAAAAAAGGATGATAGAGACAAGGACCACAGAGCAAAGGGGTGAAAAACACATTCACTGTCCTGAGAAAATTTAAAAAGTTTTATAAAGGATGATAGGAGACAAGGACCACAGAGCAAAGGTGTGAAAAACACGGTCAGTCTCACGTGAACATTTAAAAGTTTTATAAAGGACAGTAGTAGACAAGGACCACAGATCAAAAGTTGCATGAAAAACACGGTCACTCTCTTGTGAAAATGTAAATTATAATTATAAAAAGTTTTATAAAGGATGATAGGACACAAGGAGAACAGAACAAAGGTTATGTGAAAAACACGGTCAGTGTCCTGTGAACATGTCAAAAGTTTAATAAAAGACAATAGGAGACAAGGACCACAGAGCAAAGGTTATGTGACAAATACATTCACTCTCCTGTGAAAATTTAAAAGTTTTATAAAGGATGATAGGAGACAAGGACCACAGAGCAAAGGTTATGTGAAAAACACGTTCACACTCAAGTGAAAATTTAAAAGTTTTATAAAGGACAGTAGTAGACAAGGACCACAGATCAAAAGTTGCATGAAAAACACGGTCACTCTCTTGTGAAAATGTAAATTATAAAAAGTTTTATAAAGGATGATAGGAGATAAGGACCATAGAGCAAAGGTTATGTGAAAAACGCATTCACACTCATGTGAAAATTTAAAAGTTATTGTTAAAGGATGATAGGAGATAAGGACCACAGATCAAAAGTTACGTTAAAAACACGGTCACTCTCTTGAGAAAATGTAAATTATAAAAAGTTTTATAAAGGATGATAGGAGACAAGGAGAACAGAGCAAAGGTGTGAAAAACACGATCACTTTCTTGTGAAAATGTAGAATTTAATAAAGGACAATAGGAGACAAGGACTATAGAGCACAGGTCAGGTGACAAACACGTTCACTCTCCTGTGAAAATGTGGAATTTAATAAAGAACAATAGGAGACAAGGACTATAGAGCACAGGTCAGGTGACAAACACGTTCACTCTCCTGTGAAAATGTAAAAGGTTTAATAAAGGACAGCAGGGAACAAGGAGCACAGGACAAGGGTTATCATGGCATCAGCCGGGCCCACGCTGTTATCCTCAGGGATACCCCTTAAACACCTTTTCCCTTACATCATCGCTTTGCAGTCATAGCTCTTATGCATATGCATGAACTAGTTTGCATATTCAACGACCTGTTTTGCATGGCCCCTCCTCAGGGCCGCCTTTTTAGAGCCGGCTGTTTCTTGTCTTGATTTTGGCTCCTTCTCTTTATCAACTCCAGTTTTTGGGCCTGGCCCTCACTGCCTTCAGAGGTGAGTGCTGTGAAAAACGCCAATCACTTGGTTTTAAAAGTTTTAAAAGTTTAATGATAATAAAAGGGTTATAAAAATAGCAATATAATTAGAGTAACAACAATTTGGACAATTAGGATTAGGGAAATATGAGACAATAAAAACAAAGAGTTACAGATGTCCCGATACCTTTTTCTGGGCAAAATAAGCCTGAAAAAGGACCCACGTTAACAGAGGATTAACCCTTAAAAACAACAGCCTGTTGCATATTCATACACTTCATCCATGATGCATAAATTCCATTCAAACTCAGGATTCTGTCTGGGCAGTGTCAGCTGCTTCCTCTGAATCCTGACGGCTCTGCAGGGCTGAGCAAGGTGGGAATGTGAAAAACGCCAATCACTTGTTTTTAAAATTTTAAAAGTTTAAGAGTAATGAAATGGTTATAAAAATAGTAATGAAATTAGAGTAATAATAATTTGGACAATTGGGATTAGGGAAATATGAGACAATAAAAACAAAGAGTTAGAGACAGTCCAGGTACCTTTTTCTGGGCAAAATAATCCCGAAAAAGGACCCATGATAACAGAGGATTAACCCTTAAAAGCAACAGCCTCTTGCATATTCATACACCTCATGCATGATGCATAAATTCCATTCAAACTCAGGATTCTGGCTGAGCAGTGTCAGATGCTTCCTCTGAATCCTGAGGTGTCTTCAGGGCTGAGCGAGGTGGGAATGTGAAAAATGCCAATCACTTGTTTTTAAAATTTTAAAAGTTTAAGAGTAATGAAATGGTTATAAAAATAGTAATGAAATTAGAGTAATAATAATTTGGACAATTAGGATTAGGGAAATATGAGACAATAAAAACAAAGAGTTACAGACAGTATAGGTTACCTTTTCTGGGCAAAATAAGCCCAAAAAAGGACCCACGTTAACAGAGGATTAACCCTTAAAAGCAACAGCCTCTTGCATATTCATACACCTCATGAATGATGCATAAATTCCATTCAAACACAGGATTCTGGCTGGGCAGTGTCAGCTTCTTCCTCTGAATCCTGACGGCTCTGCAGGGCTGAGCAAGGTTGGAAGAAGTTCATTTCTCCTGATAATGGAGCAATAAATTCTCTTTCTCTGAAAGATTCAGGTGTCCTGTGGCTGCTATCTCAGTGGGAGTACCTCATTCCTCTCTTTAAAAAAATATCCCACATACATAGTTCCTATTTTAACTAAAAAATACCCCACATACATAGTTCCTATTTTAACTACAAAAGTGTCGGGTCGGAGGAGGAAAAGCAGCACCCAATATGAGTGATCAGCAAATCCCAAAGTTTATTGATAGCTCACACATATTTATATTGGTGTTAATGAAGCTTATACATATTGTAAAGCTGAGCTCATTATTGGTTAAAGCACACTTAGATCAACCACACCTACTTCTATGCTCTAATGATTATTTTGTTTCTATGTTTACATTCCTGTGGCTATTCTACCTAGGCTATCTTCATTTTTCTGGCAAAAGATTCTCTCCCCCATCTTCCTGTTGCAGCAAGGTCACCATGACCCTTGTCAGTGATTGGACACTGGTTACTTAATCCCCACCTTGTCTCCTTGAAACTCATCCAAGGGTATCGTGTCCAAGTGGCCTTTCTCAGCCAGCCAATTATCACAAAGCTCTCCACACAAAAGGTACCTTTTAACTACAAAACTACATTTACCATCCTGTTAAAATGTTAGTACAGCACTACTAAACAATACAACATAATACATACAGAAAACATCTGTGCAGAGCCATGTGATATTCTCACTTCTCACAGGGCTGAGGGTTGGCAGATCTGCACAGGTGTGCTCATTGTGTGTCACAGGTGTGCTCATTGTGTGTGTTCATCTGCACAGGTGTGCTCATTGTGTGTCCTCATGTGCACAGGTGTGTTCATTGTGTGTGCTCATGTGCACAGGTGTGCTCATTGTGTGTCACAGGTGTGTTCATTGTGTGTCCTCATGTGCACAGGTGTGTTCATTGTGTGTGCTCATGTGCACAGGTGTGCTCATTGTGTGTCACAGGTGTGTTCATTGTGTGTCCTCATCTGCACAGGTGTGTTCATTGTGTGTGCTCATTGTGTGTGCTCACGTGCACAGGTGTGTTCATTGTGTGTGCTCATTGTGTGTCCCCATGTGCACAGGTGTGCTCATTGTGTGTGCTCAATGTGTGTCCTCATCTGCACAGGTGTGCTCATTGTGTGTCCCCACGTGCACAGGTGTGCTCATTGTGTGTGCTCAATGTGTGTCCTCACGTGCACAGGTGTGCTCATTGTGTGTCCCCACGTGCACAGGTGTGCTCATTGTGTGTGCTCATTGTGTGTCCTCACGTGCACAGGTGTGCTCATTGTGTGTCCCCATGTGCACAGGTGTGCTCATTGTGTGTCCTCATGTGCACAGGTGTGTTCATTGTGTGTCCCCACGTGCA